GGAAAACTAACTTTTTTATAAAGAGTGGTTCTTCGTACAGTCACTGAGGTGACCGAACAATTTTAACTTTTTAATTCCACTTTGTATATATCCAATTGTTATTAAGATATCCTTGGTTGATAAATCCTTGTAATGCTAAATCCAATAAAAAGTCAGTAAACAGTACACTTATTTATTTACATATATACAATGAGGATGCACAATACAAACGAAAGATGTTACATTTATGCTAGCATATGTACTGTCTAAGTCCTAGCAAAGCACTCCCCCTTCTAAACATGTCACACTTATCATATACGAATCTTAGCTCCAGTAGATGATTATCTAAAACATTAGCTCCATCCTATTAATTAACTAACTCCAACTCTACATATATCTTTATCAAATCCTTATCAAACTGTCATAACCTAGCTTGACTTTAACTCAATACACAGCTCCCGATTCTACGAACAATAGCTCCCATTGCTCCACTCATTAAAGACTCGTTATTCTTGACCACACTAGACACTGCTCTACTCTTCATTACCCTAACACAGCTTGACTACTCTGGGCAATGCATCCAAATGCCTGTAACTCTGGACATTTAATCATAAATCACTTCATTACTTTTGAGTCTAAAATTACTACTCATCAGTACCATTTCTTTAAAAATGGTAAGAGATACATCCTTCCATGCCTTTTTTATATTCGTTTACAAAAAAAAATACGAAGACCCACTCTATATCAAGAACACAGTTTTAACATTCAATTTCTATCATTTTTACGGTTACTAAAGCGTATCTTTACTGTATGCAGAGGATTATAAATAACAATCAAATAACAAATAGAGGATTATAAATAACTATCAAATAATAAAAAGAGGATTATAAATAACTATAAAATAATAAAAAAGAGGATTATAAATAACCATCAAATAATAATAAGAGGATTATAAATAACTATCAAATAATAATAAGAGGATTATAAATAACTATCAAATGATAATAAGATGATTATAAATAACAATCAAATAATAATAAGAGGATTATAAATAACTATCAAACAATAATAAGAGGATTATAAATAACTATCAAATAATAATAAGAGGATTATAAATAACTATCAAACAATAATAAGAGGATTATAAATAACTATCAAATAATAATAAGAGGATTATAAATAACTGTCAAATAATAACTAGAGGATTATGAATAACTATCAAATAATAATAAGAGGATTATAAAAAAACTAGCAAATAATAATAAGAGGATTATAAATAACTATCAAACAATAATAAGAGGATTATAAATAATATTAATTTATATTTAAATTTATCAAATAATAATAAGAGGATTATAAATAACTATCAAACAATAATAAGAGGATTATAAATAACTATCAAATAATAATAAGAGGATTATAAATAACTGTCAAATAATAACTAGAGGATTATGAATAACTATCAAATAATAATAAGAGGATTATAAAAAACTATCAAATAATAATAAGAGGATTATAAATAACTATCAAACAATAATAAGAGGATTATAAATAACTATCAAATAATAATAAGAGGATTATAAATAACTATCAAATAATAATAAGAGGATTATAAATAACTATCAAACAATAATAAGAGGATTATAAATAACTATCAAATAATAATAAGAGGATTATAAATAACTATCAAATAATAAAAAAGAGGATTATAAATAACCATCAAATAATAATAAGAGGATTATAAATAACTATCAAATAATAATAAGAGGATTATAAATAAATATAAAATGATAATAATATGATTATAAATAACTATCAAACAATAATAAGAGGATTATAAATAACTATCAAACAATAATAAGAGGATTATAAATAACTATCAAATAATAATAAGAGGATTATAAATAACTGTCAAATAATAATAAGAGGATTATAAATAACTATCAAATAATAATAAGAGGATTATAAATAACTATCAAATAATAATAAGAGGATTATAAATAACTATCAAATAATAATAAGAGGATTATAAATAACTATCAAATTTAACAAAAAATGGTATTTTTTTTATTTTTAAATTTGATATTTTACCTCCCCTTGCATAGGAATATGACTCGCTTAATCCCCACCCCCGATTCCTTCATTTAGAATATGAATAGCTACTGGAAAATGACAGCGGCGCAGAATTTTAGCTACCCGGAACACTATACATATTACAGCTGTAGGTATAAAATCATTGTCTAAAGCCAATACTCTAGGAACACCAAAATGTACATTGTTTTGACACAATTTAATACAAAAAATAATCCCGTTAAATAAACGTAAAAATACAACAAAGTTGCGTTTAAAATTAATTTGTCACTTTTTCTCGCAATGTTCGTTTCTGTTATATATATTTAACTTTTCAACGTCACAAACGTCAAACACGGCTCTAACGTCTATAAGTCACACCATGTATAAAAGGCGCTAAATACACATTAAAGATTACCGAAATAAACAATTATGAACAGGAAAAATTAGAGAAAGTAAATATAAGCATTGAATTCATATTTTGGGATGTCTTCGGTCCTATAACACACCAGGCTGTGCCGACAAATTATCATACCACGCTAAAAGTATTCAATTAGTCGGCACGGCCAGGTGTGTTGTAGGACCGAAGATATCGCAAAATATGAATTCAATGCTTAAATTTCATGAGCTCTATTCCATTCAATATTGAAATCATATGACATTAAGCTTGACTTTCTCTCATGATTGAATCTTTAATGAATTGATAACGGTTTATGTGACCCCTTTTCATCAAATAGTTTCATAATGAGAATCGAGAAGATAAGGGCTATTCAAAACACTGCATTGACATGTAGAATGGATGGTAAAGAATCAGTTAACTAGAGTGAAATTAAACTCTTCTTGAAAGCTGCTTTAAAACTTGTTAAGAATCCCAAAGAAACATTCTCTAAAAAGTTTTAATTTACAGCAACCAAAGTCTGTTTTATAGAAACAAGAGCAGGTGGATTTCAAAGATGAAATTTGATATCATAGGCTTTAAAAATGGGTAACATTCTTAGCGACAAAAACTTACAACAACCAATGTACTGTTTGAAAAAAAATCAACTGATTGTTACTTATGAGATTTGATTGACATTAAGACACATAAAAAAAATTGACAGGCATCATTTTGGAGGTAGTTTACACTAAAGAAAAGCAAAGTACTCAATAGTCATTCCATGATTAAAAAAAAAAGAGTGAAAACGACAGTGTTTAAGAATATTTAACAAATCATTATAAAAACTTCAATATTGAAATTATCTACATTTGTCTGAAAGTCAAATTAATACAAGTAGTGAAACTTGAATCCAATGTTTTAAATCTTCAAAACAAATTTACAATAAGAAGCACTGGGCAAGAATACCCAAAGTCTGAAAATAGCAAAGAATTGCAAAATACAAAAAGAGGCCCATGGGCCACATCGCTCAATTGAGCACATAACAATTTTAAAATGAGCACATTGGAGAGGAAATAAAAGCAGAAATTACTCTAGTATTATAAAGTTTACATAGATTAGGGGTCTCTAATTTTAACCTACAAACTACCTGATGATTTTTCCATACAACAAATGCCTTTTTCCAATATATTCCTAAGTAAATCTTTGATCATCGGTTGTAGCCCCCCTTCACCTGGAAGTCATGATTTGTACAAAATTGAATCTACACTACCTGAAAATGCTTCCATATAACTTCCATTTTTACTGCCCCAGTTGTTCTTGAGATGAAGATTTTTAAAGATTTTTCCTATTTATTCCTATGTAAAACTTGATCTTTGATCATCAATTGTGGCTCCGCCCTACCCCGTGGATCATGATTTGAACAAACAAGAATCAACACTACTTGAATCTACATCTACCCAGTTGTTTTTGGAAAAAAAATGATTTTTACTTCAACAAAAATTTAAGATTTTTAAAATGTACATCTTTTTTCATATTGGCCCAGTTGTTTTTGAGAAAAAACAAATTAAAGATTTTTACTATATTTCTGTTAAACTTGAATCGCCCATTGTGGCCCCGCCCTATCCGGAGGTAACCACAACCAGGGTCATGATTTTGAAAAATTGCTGCTACAATTGCTGGATGAAAAAATCATCATAAAATGCATAAATTGTTCGCAGAAATGTATACCCCCACGATATCCGTAGAGGCACAGTATACAACTAGATCAGAAACCAACTACACACTCCTTATAGAAACTAAAACTTAGCGATTATGCCAATATATTTCTGTTAAACCATACAACAGGTATACGAGAGGTGATATGTACAACTAGTAGTTTTGGGGATAAACAGAATGCTAACGTTTTGTCACACCATCAATTTTCGCCAGATCTTTTACCCTTTGACTTGTTTCATATTCCAAACTTGAGAAAACACCATTCAGAAAGAAGGAACAAGTCAAGGGAATCATAGGATATGCCTTATTCCAGTATACGAAGTGCCATACTAAAATGTGTTCTGGAAAGAATCAGAAATCGAACAAAATATGTTACAGACATGACTGTCTTAATCAAAAGATAATATTTAAGTAATATCCGTTAGTCTTTATCATTGAAAAGCGTTTTTATTTTTTGTTTCTTTCCGAGCAAGGAGGACTTTATTTATTAAACAGCCATCGTAGGTTGACCTTTCTAGCATTCCCCAAGAGCGTGCTTCTGTGTTAAAGAGAGAGAGAGAGTTTTGAGGGAGTTGGTGTATGTTTGACCAGTCTACTTTAAAAGATTCCACAGTTTTATTAAAGTATTAATTTTTTAAATTGACAATAACTTAAAAATTCATAATACGATTTAAGCGCAATTTTCTTATAAAATCGGAAGCTTTATCATTTTTTTTTTATTTCCCTAACTCAAAATATTCAATTAAGTGATCGCTTGAAAGTTTTGAATTTTTTGTTATAGAAGGAAATACGTAAGGGGTTTTATTTTAAGAAAATATTTTCAAAGAAGCCTGATGATCATGCATTGTTTTATTTCTAGGGTATTGTATGATTTTGGACTCTTCTGGGATGCTTGACGGCTATTCTTGCCAAAAATTTTTACATGGATGTCCAGGAGGACCATACTCTACAGATGTTATATATAAATGTGAGAATTTTAATTCATTGATTATCTAGAAATGGTATTTTTATAGACATTAATGAATTTGATCTTTACTATTTCTTTGCTACATATAAAAATACGTAAAATGTTTTTAGTCAACATTATCTTTGTTTTTTTTTTTTAAATTGTTCTATATGCTTTAGACACCGTCCCAATTCTGTTGTTCTTACTGCTTTTCGTGTGCCACGCCTAGCTACTGTATGTAATCATCTTAATATTTTGAAAAATTACATAAAATAAAATGCAAATGCAATATTTTCTAATGAGAAATAGACAGGCCTGAAATTAATTACTATTATTATATATACCTCATATTTCTAATTTCATTGGGAGATAAAAGATATTTAATTTCTCTATTTACTATATCAAATTTTCTTCTGATCATGATTTGACATACTGTGAAGCTCGTTTAGTACGAACACGGATATTGCAAATTCACGGATATAGAGAAGTTATCTTGTATCCCAAACTATATGAATTTCATGAATTCCTTATGCAGCCTTGCTTAGGCTAGAAAAAGGGGGCGGGCCGAATTATACTGGAAATGTTTACTGTGACACCACAAACAAGCTAATTCAGAGAAAAGTAAACCATGCGCAGTTCGGCTGTCGGGAAGGGGGGGGGGGGGGGTCGGGGGTTCGGATCCCCTTCACTGAATTTGTAGAATTATTAAATGTATACAAATGTATACATACAATGTAAGCAAATAAAATATGCTAATATGGAAATAAAGGTTTGATGGATTATTCATTTTTATGTGTGTAGAAGATTCTTTTTTATATGGAATATTTATCACACTGTAATGATGATAGTATGAGTTTGTACAAGGCAGACCTCATAAATTTTTCCTTTCACATGCTGAATACTATCGTTAAGTAAAAAAAGAAAAGTATTTCGAGAAAAAAAATGGATTGTCCGAGATGCGATCCCGGGCCCTCTTACATTTGAAGCGAGAGACATACATTAACCGCTAGACCACGGAGCCGCTGTAACGTGGCGACAATAGTATATAAACATGAAGTGACATACATGTATATATTCACGTTCGATATTGTCAAAATGTATGGTGTCTAATTTAACCTTTATAAAATAGGTCTAATATTTGTAATAAGAATATAATCCACCGAGAACCTGTTTTATACGTAATAATTCTCCTCATGTCCCTGTGCTAAAAACAGTGACATGTAATACAATAAATACTAATAAAACAAACGGGGCGGGGCACTTTGAGAGGAGTGAGAGAGGTCCTAGGGAGTTTTGGTATAATATTACATAGCAAAAGCTCAAAATCTTCTTGAAATATCGCCCGAAAATGATAGTGTTTCATACAAGCAGAATGTATAAATTTACGACCTTGAACGTTGATCTTTTGACCTTTAAATCGAAAGGGGGCGTCCTTAGACCACAGGAAGTTGTTCTGTAAAATATCATTGCAAAAGCTCAAAGGGTTCTCGAGATATCGTTTGGAAACGAAAGTGTTATAACAGACAGAATTTGCTTATTTATGACCTTGACCTTTGACCTTTTGATCTCAAAATCAATAGGGGTCTTCTTTAGTCAATAGGCAGTTGTTATGCTAAATTTCATTGCAGAAGCTCAAAGGGTTCTCGAGATATTGCGTGGAAACGAAAGCGTTACAGACAGACAGAAAGACTGACGAACGGACGGACAGACGGACAAACCCAAATTAATGTCCCCAACTTTTTAAGCGGGAGACAAAAAATAGGTAAATTATGTATTTCTCATAATACCAGAATAGCAAATAATTTGTAATTTTAATCTGTATAAGTATAATAAACAACATGAAAACGTATCAATGCATTCAATCAAAGTACTGAAAGTACTGATACGAGTTGATGGTTGTTCAAGCTTATAAATTGAACACTACTTTACTGATAAGGAAATGAAATTGCCTTTTAAAAATTGCAGAAATTTAGACTTCCATTTGATTTCTGATGTCAATTTCATGTGCACTGTATTATTAAATCCCATAAAGAAATAATGTCATGTGAAATAATAAGGAAAGCAATTCTTTTTACATTATATTTAAACATTTATTGTGTAATAGTGCTCTATTTTAACAAATGAATTGAAACGCTCTTTTATACCTACAGTGTATCATGGTACAACAATATCTGAATGCCCTTAATGTGGATACAGCAAAAGTAATATCTCTTTAAAACAAGATGCCCATGGGCCACATCGCTCACCAGAGTAACTTGGGTGATGCAGTTCTTTACCAGATTCCCTCTCTTTCTTTACCTATGATGTACCCCCTTCCCTTTTATGATTTTAAAACTTTAGAATCTAAACAACCCAAGGATGCTTCCACATAAGTTTCAGCTTTCCAGGCTCAGTGGTTCTTGAGAAGAAGATTTTTAATTTTGTTCTATATATTTCTATGTAAAACATGGATTCCCTATTGTGGCCCCGCCCTACTCCCGGGGGTCATGATTTTAACAATTTAATATCTACACTACCCAAGAATGCTTCCACATAAGTTTCAGCTGTCTTGGCCCTGTGGTTCTTCAGAAGAAGATTTTTCAAGCTTTGTTCTATATATTTCTATGTAAAACTTGGATTCCCTATTGTAAAAATAAAATATCTAAAATTCCACATAAGTTTCAGCTTTCCTGGCCCAGAGGTTCTTGATAAGAAGATTTTTTATTGACCCCACATATTTTTGTCTTTTCTTGATAAAGGGGACAATGTTAACAATTTAAACTTCCCATCACCCAAGGATGCTTTTTGCCAAGTTTGGTTAAAATTGGTCCATTGATTCTTACAATTATTCGAAAATTTCTGAAAAGTTTACAAACACTGACGGACGAACAAAATGTGATCAGAAAAGCTCATTTTTTCAGGTGACCTAAAATACTTTTCATTATCAATTTGACAATTACTATTGGCAAACTTATCATATAAGATTTTTTTAACATTGCAGTCTTCCAGTTTGAATGTGTAAAAGCACAATATACAGTAAAATACAAGAAAATGATTTTTTATAGAAAAGAGAAAGTCCTGTCACAATTTTGTTCATAATTTTCTCTGTAACGAGCATTAAGAATGCAAAATGTGTGTAATCTTACAGAAGTTTTACACAGGACCCTGATTTACAAATAAATGCTTCAGTAATTACTTTTATATTTGGGCTACAGGAGAAAACTAATAATTATGTTCTTGAGCATATACACTTTACAACTGTTGCAAAAACACATGGTCACGGTAAAATATTTGTTGCATATCACAATAAGCTGTAAGATTTTACCTTCATGACACACAATAGACACAAGTTGGACAACAGCATTTTTTTTCCAATGTAAATTGTAGTAGCTGAAATCGGTTTTGAAATTCAAACATGAAATTAATATGATATATATAAACATATGCCTCCAACATTTTCTTGAAAATAAAATTTATGCTATCAAACTGCGGTTTAATGATATTGCTTCTAATTGATGTCACTACAAAGTACATACTTTGTACATCACCTGAGTATCTCGGCTTGGAAAAAAAGAAGATATCAGTTCCATTTTGAAAGTTTAACTTTATAAATGGTCTCAATGGGGGGAAGGGGCATTTTGAACTTAAGTTGTAACAAGTTTACAACACAACAGACAACAAAGAAATCGGATCAAAAAACTCAATTAAGCTTTTGACTCAGGTGAGCAAAAATGTGTTTCGCCATGCAATTTTAAAACAATTACAAATATAAAATTAGACCAGATAATGAACACAATAAATTGATATGAAATAAACTTTTTCCCAGAGGTGATTTTACAAGGAAAAGTTCTCAATATAAAGATACACATTCTTCATTTCACATTTGTTCCAGTTTTCAAGGGGAAGCTTGTCCTCCACCATACAAAAGACTGACAGCACAATTTTCTAATATATATATATATCAATGCTTGAAATTGTTCTACTACAACAGTAAGTTTATCAAATCTCCCAGCTATCCTTTATGCTCTGCCATTTGTGGTGTATACCTCTAGAAAAATAAAATATTTTACATTATCATTAAAATGACATATAAATAACAAGTAAAATTGAAGATCTGAAGGGTATTTTATTTATTATGACATTTAAAAAGTACCTCTTTGCTTTCCTGGAGATGTCATCTGGCAAAACCCCCAACATGGTAGTGATGGAGTTAAATTTCAATTTTAAACCAACAAACCTCCAGTGAAAAAGGTTTCGTAAAAAATCCTTCCAGGAATCATTATGCTCTGGCCCTTATGGTTTATACATGGAAAAATAACAAATTTTAAATTCTAAATTAAAACAACATATGAAAAAAGATTTGAAGATTTTATTTATTAGACATCTTAAATGTAAATCATTATCTTTCCAAAGCAATAAATTTTTCATTTGAATTCCAATGTAGGAATTCAAACCACTTCTTTATACAAAATGCTTACAAGTGCATTAGCAACACGTACACTGTCTACCTCTACTATCTTCTGAGAAATTGTTTGATGCTTTATGCATATCTGCTGCAATGCAAGTAATAGCTCAAACAATTTTTCTTTGAACCTGATATTTTCCAGAAAATTTTGTCTTTTTCTTTTTTGAGCCCTTGACATCATCAACATAATGCATCTTTAAGATCATCAAGATCTCAATCTGATCTTTATTTTTTTTTTACATCTCAAATTGTTAATTCCATAGTTGTACAAGTAGAGCTTTTCAAAAAAGCTTACCGTCTATAGCAACAATTTTAAACAGTAAACAGATCTACACTTAACATGCCGTATAATTCATTTGAATTTCTGGATTTTGTATTTCTAAATTATCTTTATACGGGCATTATCCCTACCACGGTTGTCGCTCGGTCATCTCCGTAAACTTTGACAAACCTCGGCTGACAATCGCATCATCTCGGGTCTTTCCGTCAGAGGTCGGAAAAACAACCTCGAATGTATTAACATCACCGGATGTTAAAAATTTGTACCTTTGGAAAGAAGTCCCTTCTATAGTATATTCCAGGTAATTTCATTACATTGAATAAAGTTAAACTCCATATTCCACAGATAAAAGGTCTCCATGCATTTATTTCAAAGATCGTGAAAAGGGAGGGTTGTCATGGCGTCTACCATATACATTCGAGGTCGTTTTTCCGCTAGTCGTAAAGGCCCGAGAAGTTGCGATTGCCTCGGCTGATTCCCATTCACTCTTAAAACAAGAAATGGGAAAAGAATAATAACAAACTGTAAAGCCTGCAAGCAATAACTATCAAATTTTATTTATAATGAAATTAAAGAGACCTTTTTATTTATTGCTATAAAAAATATCATGTTATTAAGAAATAATTACTGCTGATTTTGTTGTTCATTTTGTCATTTTTTTAAGATTGGAAATCTTGCAAAATTGTTAAGTCGTACGAAAAATAGATCATCAGAAAGTTATTTCCTTTGCCTTGAACAACATTTCAACAAATGAAATAATTGAAAATTTTCTCATCATGCAATTTCTACCAATCACAAAAGAGAGGAAGTACATAGTCCGAAGACTGTAAAAAACTTCACCTATACAATACCGTCTTCCAAGGAAGACGGTAATGACACATGATGCCTTTGTACTCGCATGTCATCCAGAACATGTGTATTTTTTTTTTCACATACATTGTATTCCCATTCCCATTTATGAATATTTTTTTTATTTTATAATGGAAATAAATAAATAAGACACTTTTGACCCTGTTATGTTACACTAAAAAAGTGGTCTATATTTTTCTGAAGCGATATGAGTAAACATAAATCAATTAAAATAACTTATTCCAGATTTATTATAAACAGGTGCGTGTGGTGGATTTTGATCCGCTCCTGGCTAAAAAAAAATGGCGTCGTTCCAACAGATGCTTCGTTCTCATCGTATTTTTCGTGTGATACAACAAATAGAAATATTATCTTGGATAATTTCGTTTCGTATCATTGCATGCAGAAAAATATTCATTCGATTTTAACTAAAACATGACCGATTCTCTCAAGAAAGTGGAAATCTAGTCGAAATTTCAATGGCATGTCCTGTCGCACGACTGCTGTTTTGTGTGTTTTCAAAGACTTGAAAATAATATTTCTAGTGAGGCAGTTGCCTCATTACTACAATGGAAGCTACTTTTGCGGAAAAAACACAAAGAAAAATTTATATAGAATCAGGCCCCTAAAGCCGCAAAAACAAGGTGGCACTAATGTTTACTCGGTCAGTACGATACAAAGTCCTATCGATAAACTACTGGCTAAGTTTATATTTCAGAGCAACACGTGCAACTATACTTAAATGTACATGTAATTACAGTTACGTACCTTCTAAAAATTTCCTAGTAAGCCTCCACAGTCCCGTCAATTTCTTTTGAAGTCACTGTTGTGCTGCCGATTTTGCGTGTTTTTGTTTACAAAGCAAAGTAGCATGGTGCGTATGAATATGAAAAAGTAGTTCGATCTCTATGTTAGGCCTATGTGTCATTTGTATAAATCCAAACGAACAGAAAAATTAACCAATGTTTTATGCAATTAAAAATTAAAAATCGACAAGACATATATGCACATATAGGAATATGAGAAGTGACGAAATACACTATTCTTCAAAATGAATTTTTTTGTCGGAGCACAATAATTTGTAATTTTAATACTTAAAATAAATTTCCTTTTAAAAAAAGTATAATATATATGTATAATAAACAACATGAAAACGTATCAATGCATTCAAAATAGCTGCTTGTTATATCCCAGACAACAGTTTATAAACACATCATTGAACACAGCAAACTTATCGACACGACGTCATTTTGGTAAAATTGACGAATTTTATGTGCTGTGAAAACAGATCAAGTATATTTTTTACAGTGTAAAATGTATTTTATTATTAAACAGAATATTATTTACATATTTTAGATAGGCTATAAATACCCCTAACACTAATTCCAAAAGTACAATATCTACATTCAGTGTAATTTTCCTTATGAAATCCATTAGAAATCCACGACGTTCAATTTTCTATAACATACGCGAAACCTTGTCACCGCGCGTTAGAATACACAGTAGGAACTATAAGCATTTTCAATACCTAGAGACATCTAAATGTAATGATTTATTTCAATTAAATGAAAAACTATAACCCTGAAAAATTAACGTAAAAATTAAAGTAATGTGAGTTAAGATTTAATTTGTCACTTTTTTCCTCGCAATGTTTGTTTGCGTTATTTAACTTTGCAACGTCATTTAACGTCATTTGACGTCACAAACGGCACTTACATCTATTAACCATTGCAGAGCTAGAATACAATAACAGGGCGTCTTTTTTTGACGGACAATTAGTTTTTACGATGTGTTGTTTTTCAGTATTGACACTTCCAATCAGACTTTGTGCAGAGCTGCAGCCAAAGATTTACTGAAAGATGGGAGACAGAGCTTCAGTGAGGGTCGGACAATATTAATATTAATGAAGTGACACTCTAACTCACTAATTGCTATTACCAAATATGTAAACCCTATGATGCAGCTTCTTGTACAAAAGATGCGCGCACTGAGTATCAATAGCTTTTAACATCTTAGCTCCGGGACGAACTACGAGAGCTTTTACGAACTTAGCTCTGAGACCTATGTGATGCAATGACTATGTGAGCTTTCACCATCTTGGCTCCGAGATCTTTATAATTGAACTCTTCAAGTATCATTGTTTGTTACCTTTGCTGTGACTTTTTAATAAAACTATAAACTTACAAAAGTCTCTTTAATTCAAACACATTAGCTAATTGTGTTATAACCGTAAAACCGAGGTCCCGTGTCACAGCAGGTGTTGCACGATAAAGATCCCTCCCTGCTCAAAGGCCGTAACTGCCGAGCATAGGCATAAATTAGCAGCCCTTCAGCGGCAATGGTGGCGTCTCCAAATCAGTGAAATATTCTGGAGAGGGACGTTTAACATTATACAGTCAATCAATTAACCAATCAAATAGGGTATGCCCTTGCAATTTTGAAATTTGTTTATGACCTCCATTCAGTACTCATTCTTTGCATTTACTTTTGATGGGACCAAACTTAATTGATAACAAAGTAAAATACTAAAATAATTATAATAATTTCAATAAGTATTCATTTTATGTTATAATAAAATGACTTTCTTAAAATAAATTAGGTTATTAAAAAATCCCGTTTTTACACGTCTAAATTCCATTGATTTCTTAATGGTAACTTAACAGAACTGCGTATACCAATATAACGAATTACGGAAATAGCGAAATAATTTAATTTTGTTTGTATTCTAGCCTCTCATTGGTTGATTTCAAAAAGGAACGCAAATAATTCTGTAGAATCTGGTTTGGTGTGGATACACCTCCTTGACAACCAGCTGAATCATCTATATCCGTGTAATCCCCTCATTTTCAGTCCTTTTACCTCATGTAAACAAACATCATGGCTGCTAGGTCTATGTATCAGTTATTACCTCCCCTCGCTTCCTGTCATTTTCGTTACTACGGTTGTATCATTAAGCGGCAAATTTGAACTCATAAAAAGCAATACATTTTTTCATACACATTTGTTTTCTCATTCATTATAAAATTCCAGGTTATAAAACGTAAATAGACTCAAACCAGGTTATATCGAATAATTTGGCCAAGAATTAGAGTCATTCCTCAAATAATTTCACAGGTCCAAGTGACTTCGTTATAACCGAGTTTTACTGTATTATTGGTGTCTGGAAAAAGTAACCCAAACTATTTTCCATTTGAATTCAATGCAGTCATTGTTGACGAAAATCAATGTTTGGAGTTTTTAAAAAACAAAATGGGGAACAGAGCAGAGGGATAGTTAACCTTAAAAGCCTTTTTATCAAAATTTGCAGGTCTCCACCGGCAAGTGGTGGCGTCTCCATATGAACGAAAAATTCTCGAGAGGAAAGTTAAACAATATACAATTAATCAGTCATTAAATTTCTTAAGTTATGAAAATAATTAAAAACGTTTAGTTCACTGGATATAAGCATAATATTAAAAGTTAATAAAAAGTGGCAAGTGGTATTTACAGTGCAAATTACTAACGATATCAGTACAAATATTACGATTTATTATTTTTCTTTATTTTTCCAACTATCTGATTGGTTCAAACTGGACCACATGATCAAGTATAAAAAGTGTTACAGGCTGGATGTTTCTATTTTAAAAATTTGTTAACCTGCTGTTTCTAAAATTGGAAACGTTCTTCTGAGAAGCAACAATGGTGCTAATGTCACAATAGTCTTTATAAACTTTTCTAAAAACAGGTACTACAGCTGGTTTTCGCTGCTGTAACGTCATAATGCAATGACATAAAAATGCCTTGTATGAGAAGGTACTGAGTATTAGAAAGAAGGATTTGAAGACATTTCTTATTAACTGATAAAAAATAATAAAACAATTGTAGCCTTTTGATTCGGTGCAATCCGCGATATATAGACCTTAGAGAAAGCATATCGACGTCGCACTTCGAGGTCGGTCGATATGCTTTCTCTAAGGTCTATATATCGAGGGATTGGTCTCATCAAAAGGCTATAATAGTATATTATTAAAGCTATCCGTACAAATATGTGCTATTTGTCTTCAACTTAGCGTCATTAACTTTCCCCATCATTTCATCATCTAAATCATCTTCATCATCATCATAATAATTTTTTTTCATTATTTTTTTTTTTCTGGGTAGATCCAAGTTGTCTGCATATCAATGCTTTTGAGAAGTGTTTTTTAGCAGAACCATTTTGCCCTAACATAAGCAGGTACCGTTCTTTAGTTTTTGGATTGAAAATAAATATGTTGTAAATTAACTTAGGCAATTATGTTTTTGTTTCACATCCGCTCATTATTTTCAGGTATCTTCGATTTTTTCCTGAATTATAAAATGAAATATAAAAGGGTTTTTGCGTCAGATTAAGTTTCATATATAGACTTTCTCTATACAAAGGACATTGTTGTTTTTTTGTCTTTGCTAAAATTTTCATTAAAAAACAGTTGATAATAATTTTTTCACGTTCACTATAATTGAAAATATGGTTTAAGGTAACTTAACTTTTTCTATTTTAGAAACGATGTCACTAGAAAAGTTGAGATACCATCTTTCAACACTACTACAAAGTCAGTTCAGAAGAAGAATTCAAAAAATTCAATAGAGCACTTCTTGTGGCTTTTACTTCTTTTACCAATTGCAGCAGGGATTTCGATTTATGCATGTCGGAAAAGAGGGACCCTTCCTTGTCAGGAAAAAAAGGAAAGACATCGCGATGAAGAGGAATGCAAAGACAGTCTACTTACTGAAAGTATATAATTTAATTTTCTTTTTCTAAAGAAAGTTCGGGTATATTGTTGTTACTCATGTCCATCTTTTAGGATATGGTTGGTCTTGTCATATTGATGTGCAGTAAGGTTTCGGTATTTTCATTTTTCGAGGTGTGCCGAGTGGTGCCATCTAAAAATGATAATGGTTACCCAATGTGATGTTGCAATTGCAAAAATGTGTTTACATGCATTTAGAGTACATGAACAAATGTTAAATTATCATAACAAATGATATTTTACCATAACTTTGCCACCTATAGGCATATTTTAAAAAATGCGTGAGGGTGTGTGGTGTGTCTGTTTGGGGGGAAGGGGGTGTTGACAAAATTGATTGGGTTGGATTTTCAAGGTTTTTTTTTTGCCTGACCAAATGTTAAAGAAAGTTTTCACAATTTGATAAATTCATATTATTTGTTGCTGAGAAAGTCAATTTAAAAAGTGTCAATATTTATGAGTTAAAAACTAATATCAAAATCTAAGTTCTATCATTAAATTAAATTATGTTATTTCAGACTAGTGATGAATTAAGTATATGAAAAATACATCGTCATATAAGAAACTCATTGATCACCTGAGAATTTTATGTCGTACTCAATTTTACGAATTCATGTACTGGGTAAATCATAGAACTATTCTGACATTTTCCATGGAAAGTCAAATATGAAGGTGTGTGTATTTAGTGGCAAACACCTTAGTGCGGGTATTACTGTCTCATGACAGCATCTAGCATTTTGTCTGAGACTCTATGAAATAAACCCCCACAATCTTATTTCTTCCAGTTCTCAATGGACAGTCCAACCTAAAGGGCGCATCTGAAAAAAAGAAAACTTTCGTCACACCCGGTTTCCTGCTTCAACAGTCCGATAAATCGCTATAGGGGGCAGAAAGTTTACATTCAATTTGAAATTCTTAGGGAAATCTGTTTTTTGATTGGTCTATGTATTTGTAAGATTTATTTCTAAATAAACAAGCAGCTTAAGTTTATACATATCTGAAATAAAACTTTGAGACAGTAAAGACTAATTTACCGTTATACAGCAACTTTATTTTTATTTTCCCCCGAGAAAAGTCTCATGATATAACTGTTCAAAGTGATCATACTTTGTTAAAAAATGGAATGTCGAATATAGGCCCGATAAACATTTCATTGTGAGACAAAATATGGAATCGAAAAGAATACAGTTTTAAGACCAAACTGACACTGAACATAATTAGTAATTCTGTAATTGTTAAAAGTCTGGAAAATGTTGATTTGTATATTTCAAATCAGTTTTAGTATGCGAGTGTTGGTGTGTGTGTGTGTGTGTGTGTGTGTGTGTGGGGGGGTCACACTAATTTTTGAGTGATTGTTAATATTTCTAATTTAAGTACAACAACATCGATGTTAGTATTGACAAAATGTTTATCTTTATTGTTGAAATATAATTTTACATATAATATTTGAAAATTCTTAAAGTTTAATATCAAAGACCTCAACACAATCCCACCCTCAGCGTAAGAAGTCGGCTATATTATAGGCCAATGTAGTGAAATGACTTGTTGTTAATGTTAAAAAATAGTCCTAACTTATATTCTTAATGACTTGTCTTTTTAAAAAAAAAATCCCTGTGCTTTTCAAATAAAAGATAGAATGCCAGGCTAAAAACATGTTGCTTGTTATGTTTATGAGGTATATTTACCCCCCCCCCCCCAAAAAAAAAAAAAATGACGCATATCTTTCATTTTGATATCGAAATACTTTTTAAAAGTTTAAATAAATTACAACAAGCCACCTCAGAACAAGCAAAGAAATGACAAATTGGGAATTTCTTTTTGCATATTGCTGTAAACATAAAATCCCTCAAACCCCTTTTAATTGATTTTTAGCTCACCTGAGCCAAAGGCTCAAGTGAGCTTTTCTGATCACAATTTGTCCGTTGTCTGTCGTCGTCGTTGACGTCGTCGTTGTAAACTTTTCACATTTTCGACTTCTTCTCAAGAACCGCTGGGCCAATTTCAACTAAACTTGGCACAAAGCAGCCTTGGGTGAAGGGGATTCAAGTTTGTTTAAATGAAGGGCCACGCCCTCGTTCAAGGTGAGATAATTGGGAATTAATGAAAATTTGGGGATATGTTTTAAAAATCTTCTTCTCAAGAACCACTGTGCCAGGAAAGATCAAACTGTGTTAAATTTGGAAAACATCCTCAATTTTAGGTCCACTTTTATTTTTATTGTACATAAACGACCTTCCTTTACATGGTAGTGCAGATTAAATTCAGATCTTTGTGAAATTGAGAAATTGTGTGCTCAAAATCAAATGGTATTAAATGTAGATAAAACGAAATGTGTTAATGGGAAATCAAAACTAGAAAATCCAAATTTACAACTTTATGCCTCAGACAAAACAATTGAAATGGTTGAAACCTTCTTGGTGTACATATTGGATAAGGGTCATATTGGGGCCTTTAAATTATAAGTTATTTACAATTAAAAAATTTCTCCCTCTTCATACCAGGAAACCAATGCTTATATTTTACCAAACTTTTACATAGAAATATATAGGAAATTTTTTTTGAAAATCTTCTTGTCAAGAATAATAAAGCCATAACTGATCATATTTATTTAGAAGCATCCTCAGGTGGTGTAGATTCAAGTTTGTACAAATCATGACCCATGGACACTGTATTCATAATTTGTGATTGTAGTCCCTTAATATAATGAATAAGTGTATCTTGTATCTTTTGTAATTGATGTATAGAGGGCCCTGGGGAAGAATAGTGCATGCACTAACCAGGTTACCTTCTTTAAATAAAGTTTTATTATTATTATTATTATTATTCAAGTTTGAAAATTCTTTAAAAAATCTTCTTGTCAAGAAGAACAAAGCCATCAGATTTGTATGAAAGCATCCTCAGGTAGTAAGGATTCAAGTTTGTTCAAATTATGACCCCCGTGGTAGGGCGGGGCCACAATGGCCAATCAAATATTTACATAGACAAATATAGGAAAATTCTTTAAAAATCATTTTATCAAGTATAGCAAAGCCATGATTGGTCTTGGGACCACTTTTGGATTTAAACTATTTAATAATAAACCAATTTCTACTTTTTCCTAGCCACAGTGCTCAGGGGAGCGATGTGGCCCATGGGCCTCCTGTTAGGATTGTTGAAGCAGTTGATCGACTTTTTACTATTTGCAAGTAAGATGCGTTCATTTAGTGTCACTGTCCGTAAGTTTAGGCCTGTAAGGACTCACCACAGAATCAATATGTAGGCCTTTCAACTAATTTTTCAAGTTGCACATATGATAAAAACATTGCATAGATAGGTTTATAGGTACGTGAAAATATCAAAAAAGATAATAACTTATGCACACTTTTGATTAAATCATTAAAAAATCTAATATTTTATAATTGACTTTTATGATGTTGTGTTTTAAGGACAGGTAACTCAGGTGTGAAAAATGACCAACTTAATGCCGATTTATGAGTTATCGTTTATAGGAATGACATATGGGCTGCTTCAGCATTGTTATTGTTATGCACACAAAAGGGTTCCTTACATTGTTTTGTACACAAAAGTGTTGACCTAAAGAAGTACAATGCCTTCACTCTACCTGAAATAACAGGGTCGAATGAATGGAGAACAGACTATATTCAATATTTTTAACTCTCTTTGACGACTGTTGTGAAGTAGAAAATATAATGTCATAGGCTGTGCACATTCGCAAAAATTTAGAGGGAAAATTCACTGCAGCAGAGAATTTTGTACAAATATCCTTATTTTTCTGCAAATTTCAACTACTTGTAAATATGGTTTGGTGGTAATGGTGCATGAATTAAGTATTTTGTGTACTTATGTGATTTCTAAAAAATCTTTGCGATTATCTGGACATAGACGCTAACCATATCAATTGCAGAGGAAATTCGAACTGTAAACAATAATGACCAACTTCGCAAGTAGGATAGTAAAGATTGTTTCCTTGGTGGCGTTTTTTATCCTGATGTCAGACAAATCTGCTAACCTAAATAGACGTTCATCAGAGGTTATAAGACAACAATGGCATCAGGAATGGTTCACGTTCTTCCTCAAAGCATCGAAGCCAAAGAAAAACGTTCAGCAAACGGTAAAAGATCTAAGTATGCATCACATTTTGCTTATTTTATTACTACTTTCAAATGATATTGCACTAAATGCAGGTCCCACAGGTACTTATAATGTCAGTGAGGGCACCCATCATCATGCATGTGGAACATGCGACCGAACAGTTGACTGGAGCCAGCATGGTATAATCTGTGACACATGCAACCAATGGTACCACAGCGCATACCAGTCAATGACATCACTGAATGACTCAGCCTTAGCCTGGGATTGCATCAGGTGTGGATGTCCAAATTTCTTAACTTTTTGTTTTTCGATGGACTTTAGTACTAGCAACAACTTCAGTATTCTTGAAGAGTTACCAGACAGCCCGGGCAGCGATTCACCCATGCGCCTACCACACACCTCTATCCCAGAACGAAACAGTAATAATCATAGAAAAGGAAAGTATAAGAAAAATCTAAGACTCTTGAATGTCAATTTTCAGTCAGTTAAAACAAAACAAGGTGAATTACTTAATCTCATTGAAAGCACTAATCCCGACGTAATCTTCGGAACAGAAACATGGATTGACCACTCTGTTAAGGATTCACAGTTTCTTCTGACAGGCTTCACTACCTATCGCAACGACAGAAATCTTGGTGGAGGAGGGGTAATCATAGCAGTGAAAAATGATCTTCTCATCTCGTCAGTGCCTGAATTCGAGACAGAGTGTGAAATCGTGTGGTGCAAACTAAATTTGGTCGGTCATCGTACAATCTACTTACATGTATCCTGTTTATACAATCCAAAAACAAGTAATGAAGAAGGCTTTCTAAGTTATTACAAAAGTATGGAAAAAGCTTGCAAGGTAAATAATGCTATAATTATATCAGCAGGGGACTTCAATCTTCCTGGCATAAATTGGGAAACGAAAATCACCAAAAGTGGAACACAGTACACGAGGATACACAATAAATTCTTAAAGACTCTTGATGACCTAGGACTATCGCAGTTGGTCGTTAATCCAACAAGAGGGGCAAACACACTTGACTTAGTGGTAACCAACTATCCATCTATT